TTTGATATATTTTGAAACCTTTTATCTGATATTTACTAAACACTCAATTATGCAATAAATAAGAAATTTAATTAATTTTTCACATAGATTACAGAATGAAACATGCATACAGTATATACTGCATAAACACAATGTTATGTAATAGATTATGGTAATAATAAAACCACTTACATTGTTTTTTGGTGGCGATAATACTGTCACTTGTATTAATTTAATTAAATTTGATGTTTTGCGGAAACTTGAAAAATTTTACACAAATTTTAATTGAAATATTATTCGCTTAGATGATTTTAGATGACCAAGGGCATTAATATTTATTATTAACACCGATATTATTCTATGCAAATTGATTTATGAGATGCCAATTGATTTATGTGACTCAATTAAGTAAGACAACAGAAACAACCATGTATAAAATATTAGCAAACAAATTTATCATCATCAAACCATATGCATAAATATATACACATAAATATTATTGGTTAATTAGCAAAAAAGCACCATTCACATTGGGTTGACAATTAATATTTCATAACACAACAATAATATTAATTATTTAAAAAAACTTTTCGCGTTAATTAAATTAATTAAATAGTTATCATCATGTTTATTATTGAGATGCAATTCATGTATGCCTTTCTGAACGCACAGCACATTATTATATGTCAGACTATTTGAGTATTCAATTGAATTGAATTGAATTAATAATTTATTTACAACTAATGGATATGTGTTTATACATTGCGTTCAATGCATTTCAATGTAATGTTTTTTCCTATCTCTCCTCTCAAAACACTTACAACATATGAAATATTTATTATATAACATTTTATGTTACATACAGTACTCATTCACCCATACAAAACACTATCCCTGTATACATCTATGTACAGTACAAGTATATATACGTATAATACTATATATTCACATACAAATCCTTAGATATTACTATGGANCAGTACAAGTATATATACGTATAATACTATATATTCACATACAAATCCTTAGATATTACTATGGAGATTCTCAACCAAATTCCTATACGGTTAGTCTACAGCCAAAAACATCCATATCAATTTGTGTATATGTCTATGTATGTGCCCTTTAAGTTGCCTGTACAACTATATAGCTCCCTAACTATGCATGTATAGCACCAGAAACGCACCATAATACATTTGTATATTACGGTACACATGGATGTTAACGCTAACTGATGGGGATATGTAAAGTAGTGTACAATTGATATGCAATGTGCTATTATTATACCCCCTTTTCCCACACATTTAATGTGACAATTATAAGGATTATTATACAATACACTTTATATTTCCACATTTATTATTGCATTTTATAATGTATTGTCATTTTTTGATGAATGAATGGTAAAACTCTGTCCATTTTAATACTATAGGGATGTACATTATAAGGAATATTTTCGCACATAAAAGTTATTAATGTAACTTTTTATGGCACTTACGGTATAACATGCTCTTAAATATACATTGCTGGTTTTAAATATGTAAATTTAATGTTGCTTAATTGTAGATAATGTACACTTTTGACCCGTTTCCTAGTGTTAATGCAATTGTTGGACCGTATATTTTGTGTATATAATAGTGGTTGTGGTGTTTATTGAATATTATAGACATCTAAAATAAATGAGGTAGTTTTGTATTTTGTAATGTTCTGCATAACAGTACACAATTAAGAATATTAAAATTATTATTTTAGAAATACATTGTTGTTTATTGTATGTAGTAGATTAAATGATTTTTTCTAAACTTTAGCTAGATTAATTTTAAAACATGTAATTTAATATTGATGATTTATTGACAGAATATTCTGCGTGAACAATTACAATAAAAGAAACAAAATATTGTGTAAATTAATTGAAAAATATTAAAACAATTTGATTATAAATGAGAGATTGAAAACTAAAGGCGTGTAAAAACTTAAACTTTTTGCAGTAACAAAGCGGAGGCGCCTCCGCCCCCATTGCAAGTGGACGCCACCCCATACTCGCCGGGCTTTAAGTTAAGGGCCAAATGACCGACAATACGGGCCCCGGAAAATCTATTCACCACATTTTAATTAATAGTTTAAAATTTTGACTATAAATACAATATAATAATAACCACATTCTCAATCACTTACCCTAATGGGTGACCCAACGCCACCGAACCCCCATTGGGGTTCACTTTGTTCAACTGGTCTTCAAGACCCAGTTGTCTGAGATTAGCCACACCTACGCTGGCGAACGGCTCGTTCAGTTCGTAATGGGCTACCTGTGCGGCCGTTATGCCCGCCCTATTCAACAGCTGTATAACACACACACAATGTATGACTCAATTAATAATTTTGCACACAATTAAAGTGAGAGACACAGTGAAGGGAACAGATAGGGTACAGGTAGGGGGTTGGGGTGGGTATAAATCAATGGGCACTTACTTTGGGAACGGCGAAAGAGGGCGCGAGACCAAAGTCAATCGGGTCGACACCGGCGTCGGCGGTGGCCACCACTTTGGCCAACGGTTTGGCCGCAAACTTTTTGACGGCCGCCGCCGACATGAGTACCAGAGCGGCGGCGCCGTCGCTGAAAGCGCCAGTAGTGGCGGCTGTGATCACACCGTCTGTGGTAAACGACGGCTTAAGTGTCTGTATCTTATCGTAGTTTACGCGCGACAACTCCTCGTCAACGGTGACCGTGCGGTCCGGTTGGCCGCGTAGGCCGGCGACAGTCACCGACACTATCTCCCGGTCGTAGAGACCGGACTCCGACGACCGACACGAGCGCCGGTAGCTCTCGATGGCGTGTCGGTCGCTGTCCGCGCGGGTAATCGCGAACTTTTTGGCCAAATTCTCGGCGCACAGACCCATCGACAGCCGAGTGTACACATCCAACAGTCCGTCCGACTCTATACTGTCGCGCAGCGCGAGCGCGCCGTACGGGGTGTCACCTCTGGCCAGATAGTAGGGCGCGTTGGACATGGACTCTGTGCCGCCGACCAGCACCACGTCGTTGGCGCCGGTCTGTATGGTTTGGGCGCCGATGATAACGGCTTTGGTGGACGACGAGCACATCTTGTTGACGGTGGTGCAGGGCGTGGTGTTGGCCACTCCGGCCCCCAGCGCCGCCTGTCTGGCCGGCGCCTGTCCCAGTCCGGCCTGCAATGCGCACCCGTAGTACACTTCGTCCACGTCGTCGCCGGTGATGTGGGCCCTCTCGAGCGCCGCTTTGATGGCAACGGAGCCCAACTCGGAGGCCGACAGCCCGGATAGTGAGCCCCGGAATGAGCCAATCGGAGTCCGCGCCACCGCCACTACAAACACCTCCTGTATTAGGATATCAATCATAATGTGATTATTATTTTTATTTATATATTTTTTTGTATTTCAAAATATAACTTGCATTTAATGCTGACATTATTTGACAGAAATAGGGAATTAATTAAATAAAATAATAATTATAATTGAATTATTAGTTTCACAATTGAAATTACAATCACTTTTCTATAAGATTTATTAGTGAACTAATGTTCTGGGATCTAATTTTTAGCGTATTTATAGTGGCAAAAATACAATTGTACATGCAACTTAATCGCACAATATGGTACAGTATGTGTATTTAACACCAAGGCCATTTAGAGCTTATGCTCTTGATAAGTGAATTTGATAATAAAATTCATATAAACACTGAATGACAGCTATGAATACATGAGTGTAAACTAATATTGATTAAACAATTTGATTAAAATAAACCTTTAAATACACCAACAATTTAACAAACTATTAACAGAATATTTTATATTTGTTATATTATTCTTATATTCTGTGCTATAAATCCAATAATAATGATAATTAAGCATATATTGACGTTTAAAATAAAGTAACCTCATATAACTTTATAATCTCTATAATTATAACCTTGATAATCTCAATATCAAAAGTGATATTATTCGACTGTTAAGTACACTAGCTCTTATTATCTACTATTATATTATTAATGTACATTGGGTTTGTAAATAAAAATTAAAAATAATTGATGGAATTATTGATCCATGAT